TGAAAAAGACTTCGGACTGAAAGCAGATTGGCATTTTTTTGGCACTGCACTGCAAAAGTGCATGTGACGGAGTAGGTGGTACAGTGAAAAGAGTAATTAATGCACCCATTGAATATGCTATTAGGCAGGTTGGGTGGGGGGCACTGGTTTCTAATAATGCATTCAACCCTAGATAATTAAAAAGTAGGGCTATTTTAAAATGCTGCTGTTTTTGATGTGAATGCAACAAGTAAAAAATGATTGCATTTTCAGATATTTGGATCTTATGGTCTTTATTGCTGTTAAGCTTAGATCAATACAAAGTGTTAGAAAAAATTACGAGCATTTCAAAATGGCTGAAAATGGGACCTTTTTGGCAAATGGACAATACATTTTTTGATGTATTTCAGTTCTAAACTGCAACAAGCGGCTTATTTTTTGCCTGTTTGTTGTAGATAAGATTAGCTAATCAGAAAACAAAACTGTAGGGACTTGTTGCAGAATAGAAAAGTACTACTGTTAATTTCATTTTGGCCTTTTTTAGCATTTTTCAAACTTTTTTCGAAGTTGAGGAGGCTATAATTTTTTTCTAATATGATACAAGTTAACAAAAACCAGTATTTTTAATACAGAACTACCCAGAAAACACTTCTAGAAAAAATGAGACACTTGTTGAAAGTTAGAAAAAAGTTATGAGGCTTTAAAGTAGTCTGTTTTTACAATTCTTAAATTAAGGGGGGCCACTGCGTAGTGTTTATGGAGCTATATTTTCTGAACCGTTGCACTTGGAAGTCTGAAATTTCAAATTTAACCTATCTACATAATGTAGATAATGATATGTAAAAATCAGGGAAATCAGAGATGGTGCCCCACAAAGTTTTTTCAAAATTGGTTGAAATATAATGATTTGACCCAAAGAATAATAATAATAAAACATGAAATAAAACATACTTAAAAATAAGTAAAACACATTTCATGGTATTGGTAATGAAAACATTATTACCCTTAACCTACAATGATTATTGACAGTTTGCTGTTATATCAACAAGTCTATATTTTTCTTGTCATTGGATAATTAAAATTAAGACAGTTGTAATCAAACTTATATCTGGATAACATAGATCAAAGTTACTGATATAGATGAGGTTTTCCTTTTAAAATAGCTTTTATTTGCTTATGAAAGCTACAAGAGCTTTTTTGCCCATGTAAATGCAATTTGCTTGCTGTGGTTGTATTACATGTAAAAATTTATAAGTTCTATTTTTTTTACTTAGCATAGGTAATTACAATACAAATTGTTAAAATACAATAGATAAGGTAGTTGTTATGTTACTTATGTTGTTGCTGCTAATGATTCAATTCAACTCAGATTAACGCTATAAAAATAAAGCAAAAAAACTTCATCAAAAAAATAACTTAAATTAACTATGCTCTTATAACTCTATATTTAAAAACTTTAGAGGCCCTGAAATTTTTTAATATGGAGTGAAATTTTTTTATTTTTGTTTTTGTGTTTTTTTTTAGTTGGGTTAAAAAATTTGAAGAAAAATTTTTTTTTAACAAGTTTCAATTTTTATATATTTATTAATTTTATTTTCCTATTAAACTGGAATCAAAACTAAATTTTTTTTTAGTTCTAACATACTAAATATAAACATGAGTAAAAAAAAACTAACCAGATTTGGTGTTTTTCCTTTCGTTTGATTAAAATTAAACAGTTTTCAGTTATTCTTCTATCTATTTAGGTCTTTTTTTTAAGTCGAAACACTGTAGCAAACAAAATATGTCAACAAAAAATTCGTTCGACTATATCGCGCGGGCTGCCGGTCACCACCTATTCACAAGCGCTATCCCACTACTGCTCAATGCGAGAACTTTTGCCTGCTACGTTTCCGTCCTGGGCCGTTACGTTCTTCATTATCGAACCTGGTACATCGAAGACTTCTCTTTGATGACCATGTTGACACTGAGCTTAGCGCGGACGCCTGATCTACATAAACAACTGACCGACAGTGGTCCCGAACCCAAGCCGTCCGAAATTTCAGCCTCGAAAGTAGCTCGATTACAGGTGCAAGCCACTACACCCAGCTTGTGCCATTAGAGAAAATGAATTTAAATAAACAGTAAAATAAAAAAAAGCCATTGTAAGCAAAAAGTTTGCAATACATAAGCCGTATAGAAAATGAATTTAAAAAAAACTACTTTTGCTCATATATATATATATATATATATATATATATATATATATATATATATATATATATATATATATATATATATATATATATATATATATATATATATATATATATATATATATATATATATATATATATATATATATATATATATATATATATATATATATATATATATATATATATGAGCAAAAGTAGTGTTTTTTTCTATACGGCTTATGTAATGCAAACTTTTTGCTTACAATGGCTTTTTTTTATTTTACTGTTTATTTAAATTCATTTTCTTTGTTAGTACATATAACAGTATATATAATGGTATAAATTAATTGCTTTTTATCTACATTTTGCTAACTTGTAGTTGCAATAGCAATATTATGTGGTCAATTTATTGTCTTTATTGTTATGAGTTGTCATTTACTTTTGCTTACTTAATTTTTCTTAGCTTGTCGCTATGGAGCTAGCATTTCTTGCGAAAATATCACTGGTTTAAAAAATTGATTAGGCTTGAGCATTCTTTTTAGAATAATATTTTTTTAGAGTCATTTGATAAGTCTTAAACTTGCGTGCTGCTACTTTTGATGGTTCTTTTATAACTTCATTTACAGTTGCTTTCATTAGTTCAACTTGAATAGCAGATTTTTAATTAAAAATTAATTTAACTTTTTAATTCTGCTTCAAATCATTTAAAGATCTAAAAACTAACAGAAAGAAGTAAATTTTTATAAGTATTTAAAAGAATAAAATACAAATACTTTTTGTATTTTTTTGTAAAAAAAGGGGCTTGACATTTTATACATAATATTATGTTTACTGAAGCAAGTAAAACCAAACGGGACTTGGATGCATGTGTGATCAAATATATAAGAAATGTTAAACATTTAAACAACAACATAAACATTTAAAACACAATGGTTGCACATAAAACGCAAATGTCATTAGCTAAAATGATTTTTTTACCATGCAAATGAATTACTTTACCATGCTAAAATTTCTTGGCTCCCTTGTAAATTGGAGTTTTTGGCAATGACTAACTGATTAACTGGCTATTAGGCGTGGGTGTAAGCAGAGCCATCCCAAAGGCCTCCCTACAACAAATTGAGTACAACGAAAGCCAACTGAAAAGTATCAAAACTACTGACCAAACTATGACCAAACTCATTGCAGTAAAAAATTATTGCAGTTTATACAAATGCAGCATTACTAGAATAAGAGAATGGCACAAATTTTGCTGATAGAGCAGACCTAGTTATATTTAAAATGCATTTTTAAACCTTGCATATTTTCACTCTTAAATGCTCACTTTCTTACATCAAACTTCAAAGATTTACTTAACAAATATTGTATAGTATTTATATTTATATTTCCAGGTATGCTTTAGTGATGAAAGTACTTTCCAAGAGTTAACAAAGAAAGCTCAATACTTAAAAAGAAATAAAGAGCACAACAAAAATTCGATTAAATTGTTTTTCTTTTTTTCACTTTGTATTTTATTGAATTGGTTTTCTTTATCAGGTCAGTAGTGAAAGATAATCCAAGATGTAAAGTAGAGAACTCCGTGAAAGGGTTGCCATTTGTTAAAATAGGAATCTCAAATATATTATGAGTTATTTTCAGCAAACAACTAAGTTTTGTTTGAGTTAATATTATCAAGCCATTGCAAGCCCCAATCTGTTACAGATGAGAGATCAAAGTCAAGATAGGCTGTCTCTTCTAAACAATCAAAGAGTGAAGACTATTTGTCAAGAAAGAAGTATAAAGTTGTGTTGTCAGCAAAAAAAGCCAATTTATGTAAATGTAAGATTGTCTGAAGATCCTTAATGTAGATAAAAAACAATACAGGGCAATAAGGATAGAATTTTGAGGTACCCCATATGATACAGGAAATCAAGAAAAGTGTTGGCTTGCAAGGATTGTTTTAATACTGCATTTTTAAACGGAAACTCTATTCAAAAATTAGTCGGCAAATTAGGACCTATTAGGCAACAGTCGGGAAATGTCGGTAAACGAGGACTTTTTTTTAAAACATTTTTTTTTAAAACATTTTTTTTTTTTTTGGCATCGTTTTTATTCGGAATTATTAACTTTTTATTAACTTTATTAAGTTATTAACTTTTTTTTTTTTTTTTTTTTTTTTTTTTGTATGTATTTAGGTGCTCCAAGAAGTCCTTACGGTCTTATCATAGAGCACCGCGGGTGAGCATTTAACAGGAAGTTTACGCCTCCTTCCGTACCAATGTCGCTTGTTGGGCTAGAGCTGGCATCGAACCTCTGACCTCTGAGTTCTGAGCCAGAACTCTAACCACTGCGCCACGGCTGCTCATATTTTAATCAACTTTATTAAGTTAAAAAATAACAGAATATATTATTTTATTGACCTACAAATTTTAATGTTGATTTTGCGGTTTCTAAACTTTATAAAATTTTTTTATAAATTCATTTTGATCATTTTCTTTTCTTTTTTATTGGATGGCGGAGAAGATGGTTAAACTTTTTTAAACTTTAAAATTTAAGCAGTGGTAGAAAATAAGATTTCTAGCGCACGTTTTTAACGCGATGCGTTAGAAAGGAAGTTTCCCTTAGACTTATTAATTATTTACCAAAAATTCTTTTCTATTCCTACCATTGCCTCAACATAACGCTTGTATGCTTAAACTCTCTAGTAACTACGCATGCAAGTATACGTACGATTTACCGGCTTTTGCCTAAGTTACACGTCCTCAAACAAGTGGCGGTTAGCACCTTTCACGTGCGGCTGAATAAATTTAATATTTTAGGCAACGCGCATTGTTTAATTTGCTATGTTCACGGTACTAACGAGAACAACAAATTGGAAAAGAAACTGAATTCCTTTTTTATACAGTGACATAATATTATGTGTAAAATGTCAATTTTTTTTTAAAAACTAAACATCAGTTTGTTTTTAGTTTTGGTTTAATAACAAAGAAAATACACTTGCGTACATGTTAGTAATTTTTTACATTGTTTGGTTTTTTGATAATTTATAATAAAATGCAGTTGCATATAATTTAGTTTTAGAAAAAAACTAATTGTGTTTAAAATGCAAATTAAAGATAAAATTTAGTTTTACATGTAAAATAATAAATTAATCAAAAACTTATTATACGATACAAAAAACTATTGATAAATAAGTATGTTATTTATTGATATCTTTGTTATTAAAAAATGATGCATTTTGTATGTATATATTGTAAATAATATTTATATATACTATAAGTGTATACTATTGTATTCTATATATAGTCTTTATGCATAAAATTTTTATAAACATGAAAATATATATATATATATATATTCATGTTTATAAAAATTTTATAATATATAATTTATTATTTATATATATATAATATATATATATATATATATATATATATATATATATATATATATATATATATATATATATATATATATATATATATATATATATATGTATATATATATATATATATATATATATATATATATATATATATATATATATATATATATATATATATATATATATATATATATATATATATATATATGTATATTAGTTATATACAAAATGTTATTTAAAATGTAATAGAATGAAATAATAATAATATAGAAAAAAAACAAAACAATGTTGCTTTATAAAATATTGAAACAATAACATTTATCTTGAAAATTTAAATTTTTTTTTTAGAGAAGTTAGTAAGGTCTAAAACTTTTTATTTGATTTATAATTTAATAATAAAACAAATATTTTTTAGCATTTTTGCAATTAAAGTTAAAATCTTACCTACCTATTTTTATTTATATAAAAGCATTATTTTTTTTTAATAAATAGAAGCTTTATTTCACATAAAAGATAATAGGTTAAATAAATTTAGCTTAATTTCAAGTTGTAATGCAATGAGAATGGATCAAGCAAAACAAAAAAGAAAGCTATGTTATGAGAAAAGTGATACTTTAAATTCAAAAAAAAGTAGATTAGTAAGAGTTTTTCTTTACTAATTATATTTTGATTGTTAACTTAATGTATATTTTTTTTTGTTGAGGAGACATATTTGTTTTTATATCAGAGTATTCTTTTCCCTAGACAAGTTGCTTTCACCATAGCTAAGAAGCCTCACATGCCTTTAATATAATAAAGAATCAGAATTTCAAAATCTCTATATTTTTTGTAATATAAGTAATTGTAATAGTCTTGTAATATAAAGTTTTCTGTTTTATATTAAGTTTATATTACAAGTCTTTTGTAATGTAAGTCTAATATAATTCTAAAACTTCAAAGAATAAACAATAAAATAAACAAGGTTGTTAGTGAGAACCAATTGAATGTTAGCCTGCGTATTCAATGTTGGAAATAAGCCTAAAGGAAAAAAACAGTTCATCTACTTGTATATTACAAATATTGAGAAAACTTAGACTATACATAGTTCATTTTCTCAATATTTGTAATATACAAGTAGATTAACTGTTTAGGCTTATTTCCAGTATCTATGAGTTAATGTATAGAGTTAATGTATACATTAAGAGTTAATGTATACATTAACTCATAGATAACTGATGAGTTTTACTTTACATTACACTAATGTAAAGTAAAACTCATCAGTTATTACTAGTAGACATCTAACTTGTAATAACATCAGTTATTGCAAGTTAGATGCAGAACAAAATAATCTAAATCCATAATGACTGTAAAACAATTTTAAAGCTACTCAATTGTTGTTACATTCTTTTATTGATTATATAGAATAATTTTACATTAAAGTTAAGGTGCTAAAAGTTTACTCAAGAAAAGATCTGAAGAAAAGAAAATAATTATCTAATTTACTTTAGAAATATTGAAATTTAATTCAGCAAAAACTGCCTCTTTTTTTTTGGTATAGATAATTTTTTTTAAATAGTATAATTTAAATTTGTTGAGGTCAGCAGTTAAAGTTATGGAAAATATTGCTGAAGATCCAAAGGAGTCAGGGATTGTTAAGTACGAAAAACGATAAGTACTATGCAATTGCTAAGTACAAAACAATATTTCATTTGAAAGCAATTAAAGGAACAAATTGCACTTGTTCACTCAAAAAGCATTGCTAGCAGTTATTTTTGTAACTCCATAAAATCAAAAGCATTAGTACCTTTTTTTTTGTGCGGCCATTTTAAAACAATTTACTCTCGAGTCCTTAAAAAAAAAAGAAGGGGGGGGCATTTGTTAATTTTAGGAAAATTTTTCCACCAACCCTAAGTTTATTAAGACCTTGTTTATTAATTTTTACTTGTTATCAACAAAAACTAAAAAAAAAAATCAGTGAAAATCTTAAAAATTATAAAATAATTATTTCAGTCACCAATATAAACAAAAACTTTCAGTGAAACAGGTTTTACAAATTGTAAATCTCGATTTGTTGAAAATGAACTTTTGGTTTATTTCTCACCAAAATATAAAACTTAAACCAGCATATTAAATCCCATTAAAATTATGATAAAACAGCTGTTAGAAAATGCACATTTGACCACAAGCCACACTAGAATTAAATAGTTTTATGCGTGTTTTGTAAAAAATATTAAAGTTTGAGTTAAGTAAAATTGACACTTTTTATATCTTGAATTACAAAAGATTGAAATGAGCTACAAAGTTTATTTTTATTTTTATTGAACGCTTATTAAGTCTAGAACAAAAATAAATAAATAAAAAAATTAAATTTCTTCAGTACGATAAAATTTTCTAATTTTTCTCTTAATGGGAGTCATAAGATTTTGCACTAGGTGAAATCCATACTCTGTGGTGGTTTTATCCGACTTCTTCTTAAAGTCACTACTTGATTTTGCTCGCCTAAACTTCTTACGTAATTTGGCTTTAATAATTGCCCAATATTGCTCAATTGGACGAAGTTCAGGACAATTTGCAGGATTGTGTGTTCTAGGTATGAAATCAATACTAATGGGATTATAGAAATTTAACTTGGATTTGGAGTAATGACAAGACACTAGATCAGGCCAAAAGATTGCATTACCATCATGGGCAATCCACAGTGGCAATATGCACTTTTTAAGGCATTCTTTTTGATAGATTTCACTATTTATTGTGGAATTAGTGACAAAACTTTGTGTTTTTAATCCACATTGACATATGGCTCACCAAACCATAATTTTTTTGGGGAATTTTTTTTAGTTTTATTGTTTTAAATTTAGCCTTTACCTTTTTCCTGGAGACTCCCATATAAAAATGATGTCTTGGAATCGTTTTGAAATTTAATTTCACATAAGTTTCATCATCCATAATTATGCTTTTTTTTCTACACAATAATTTGTATAATTTTCCTGCACGACTTTTTGCCACTAAATTTTTTTCAGCATTGCGATCTGGGGTTTTATACATCTTGAAGGACTTGATTTTATGCTTTTTCTTGATAGTCCGAACCATATTAGGATTTGCCCTTATTTTTGCCAAAACATTCATCTTCAGTTTTTTGTTAATGTTCAAGTTGTTACCACTTCTTGGCTTTCTATTTATTGTATTAAGTGTCAAATACTTATTTAAAGTTCTAATCACAGTGCTTTTAGAACATCCAACAGTTTTTACTATCGATTTGAGAGGCAAATAAGGATTTTCCATTTGAGCGTGCTAAATTGCATCCCGCACTTGTTACTGTTTTGTTGCCATTTTGAATAATAATAAAATTTTTCTAAAAAAAATTTTTTTTCACTTAAATACTAATACATAATTGTTTTTCTGTATGATAACATTCTGCATGATTTTTTTAGCGTCCTAATTATAAGGAATAAAAAGTGCCAATTACCTCTTCCCCCCGTTTATTAGATTTGGACAAATACCCCCCCCCCCCACCCTTGTATTAAGGACTCAAGAGTAACTTGGTTTATGTTCTAAAAGAATCCCAAACCTCCAAAACATGTTATGTTCATATTAAAGAGAAAGATGAAAAAAAAAAGGCGTCATGTACTCTTCGGAACAAAATGTGCTTGAATAAATTATCAAGTCTGTAGATTGCAATGTATATTATGCTGACTTTTTGGTCATATTGAATGAAGATGATTCTTCAATCTAAAGAAGACTATGATCTGTGTTTGGTGGGACTGGGAGGGCATGGTGTACTGGGAAATGCTTGGAAGAAATGTCGTGGTTACTAAGGAGCTCTACAGTTACACTTTGTGAAAGAGGCTATGCAACTGAAAAGACCTTATCGACTAAGACAAACCATATCCTTCAGGACAACAGGAGACCCCATGTTTCACAAGTTGTTAAAGCCGTACTCCAAGAGCTCTAATGGAAGATCCTTCAATATCCGCTGTATTCTCCGGACCTTGCACCAACAGATTTCCATATTTTCCACCTTTTGTCGAAATGGAATATTTCTTGATATTTTCAAATTATCTTGCATTTTTCCAATATTTAAAAAATGACTTTAAACTTTCATGCACTAACTATAAGGGTGTTAGCCAGCTAATGGCACTGCATATAACACGGAATTCCTATTAGATTTAACATTCCCAAAATGTAATGACCTTCTTTTTTTTTCTTCGAAGGAGTAAAACAATTTCAATAAAAATTCCCAACACTTTGTAAAACAATAACAATAAATATTCACAATATTGCAAAAACCAGTGAAAAATATATTCCTGGCTAACACCCTGACTATAGACCTATTTCTCTATTATCTAACTTTAGTAAACTTCTTGAAAAACTTATGTAATCTAGAGTGTGCTCTTTTCTAAACTCATTTAATTGTTTAAATGTTTTCAATTTGGTTTTCAATCAAAACATTCTACATGTCATGCATTAATATTGGTCCTTTTGTTTGTGGTGTTTTTATTGATTTACAAAAAGCTTTCGATACTGTTGACCATAATATTTTGGTTTCTAAATTAGAATATTATAGAATTTGTGTAAATGACTGGTTTCGAACTTATCTTTTAGATTGAAAACAATTTGTAAGTGTTAATGGTTATAATTCTAGTAATAAATCAGTTTTGTGTAGTGTTCTTTGTGGTTCTGTTCTAGGTCTTCTTTTAATTTTAATCTACGTTAACAACCTAACCAACTCTGTTCACTTCTCATCAGTTCGTCTGTTTGGTGATGATACAAATCTCTACACATCAACAAATCATACAGTTTTTATGTAAAAATATCGATTCGGACCTAAAAGTTATAGTTCACTAGTTAAATGTTAACCTATTTTGTCTGAAAACCAAAAAAACTAAATTAATTTTTTATCTCCAAGAAAAAAACTATTTCTTTAAAAATGTTGAAATCAAAATTAAAATTAATAAAAAATGTATTTATCCTTTAAGAGTTGTTAAATATCTTGGTGTGTTAATTGACTGCAATCTTTCATGGAACTTTCATATTGATAAACTAAGCAAGAAACTCTCAAGCGAACAGTATCCTTTCGATAACTCACATTATATTTATAAAGTTACACTTAAGAATAATTTTTATGCATTGTTCTCACCTCATTTACCTATTGTTGTCAAGTTTGGGGTCAAGTTGGAAAGTATTTCATTAACAAGTTGCTATCGTCTTAGTGTCATTCCTTTAGATTAATAAACTTCCAACTAATTAAATCAGATACATTAGAGTCTTTCAAAAAACTTAATATTTTAACATTTCCAGCGCTAGTAAAGTATGCAAGCCTTTCCAGGAAGCGTGTGTGGTCACACGCCTTGTTCGTTCACGTTTAAAGTTATTTTTTTAGACACACTGATCATGGTAGTTCGCTTTTAACTTTTAAAACATTTCAATAATTCGTAGCAAAAAGCTAAACTTATCTACTGAGAAAAAAAAATGATTCTATAAAAAGGAAACAAAATTGCAAGGAAGTATCAAATTTTATTTAAATAAAATAGAAAAAATTATTAACTTAAAAAAGAAAATTGAAAAAAAGTTTTTTTATAAAATTTTTATTCAACTTTTGTATTCTTTTTTTTTAGTTAAGTAAAAAAGCATATTATATTTTATAACAATTTAATAACAGTTGAAGTTTTTGATATGCAATTTATTCACGATTTTTATCAGCCCGTATAAATAAGAAACTAATTTGCAATGTTAGATAGAACTATAACAAATTTTGTTAATTTTTTTTTCTTATGTTTATTTGTTTTTGCGTCTTTTTGCTTTTAAAAATGTTTTTATTTGATGTTTTTTCTCAATACCTATATAATAGGAAAATAAGGAAATAAATTGTAAAATATATTATTTAAATAATAAATTTTGTAATGATGGATGAAATTAAATACAAGAATAGCATAGTTTCTTTTGTAAATGTATTTACCACATTTGATGCCTGTCTGAAATTGTTTTCTTTATATTGCCCAATTTCCAACATTAATACAAATTAATAGAGATAATGAGATAATTTCTCTGTTTGAAAAAATATATTTTAAAACATAAAAAGGTTTTAAATCGACATTTAAAAGTTTCAATAAAATTCAGTAAATTACCGATGCACTTTAGTCTGCAAGCTTTTGGAGCATCGTCAATAACAATAGTTTATCAGGAATTAAACTTTAAGGTTTAAATGTACACTTTAGAGAAACTAACAAAAGTGCAGACTATTTCAATGGGAGTAGTGAAAACAACCAAACAAATTGAATAATTTTGTTATTTATATTCATATTTGAATATAAGTATTAATGACTTTTTATTTTTTTACATGAAAAACTTGTTGATAAATAAAAAAAAATTTACAAAAATTGCAGTAAGTTTTCTCTCTTTCCTGTGCATTGATAAAAAGAGTAAAGTTTAGCAAAAACATTTAAAATTTGAATTTTCAAACTGTCCATATTTCTAACGCAAATAATTATTTCCTTAATATACTGACTGACAAAAGTCATGAATAATTGGTATATCAAAAAATGTTTTTGTTTTTTTATATTCTTATCTGCTTATTTTTTTGACTTGTATTAATTTTGGTAGTGGAAAACAAACGCCCTAAAAAAAAAATAAACAAAAACAGTATAGCATTTAGGTATATTATTTTTTTGACAAAATTTTTTTTTTTTCTTTTTTAACTTTTTTAATTTTATTTTTTTAGATTTTCTATTTCGTATGCTTTTTGTTTCCTTTTTTTGAGTATTATTACTTTATTCTCTTTTGTTTCTTATAGCTTTTTTTTTGCAGCAAAATCTTAAAATGGTTACTATATAAAAATGGTCAAGTTGTCTGAAAAACTTACTTAAAATGTGGATGAACAAGGTGTGCAACCGCATGCACTTTCCTGGATAGCTTGAGTATACTAATCTTCTTTTTGTTTTTGACTCCTTAAATAAAGGTTTTCAATCTTCCTTTACAAACTTGTTCACAGAAAGTAGATTAGTACATTCTTACTCTACTAGAAAAATATACAATTGGAAACCAAATATAACATCTTTTAAAACCCAGAAGTATGGTAAACATTATGTTGTTTATCAGCGTGTCTGTGAATGGAACAGGAGCATTGTATGCATTTTGAATGAGTTCAAAAAACTACATCCTAAAATACCTTTTCTCCATTTTAAACAAATCAATTTAAAAAATTCTGAAAAACATTTTATTTTAACTTTTAGACATTATCCTTATTATTATAATATTCTTTTAATTTTCTTTTTGTTATTACTACAATTATCATCAGTACTTTTTGTTTGTTTATTTTTTAAATATTTTTTAATATTATAACCCACAAATTATGACTTTGACAGTCCATGTGTTTCAATGTATGTCTTTGCTTATTATTACATATAATATACTTAAAAATTGGTGTCACTCCTTAGATCGGATTTATATTTATTTATAGATTTATAACTTATTATTATAAACAATTTTATGCTTACAATTACCATTAAAATATTTATTATTATTATTTTTTCATGGTAATTATTGTAAACGTACTTATCATTACTATTAATATAATTTGTATTGATTTAATCCTTTATTATTACTATATATTATTGTTATTGTAATTTTCTTACAATTAAAACTATGAGAAATATATTTTACTACAAGAATGTTTGTTTTGCTATTTCGTCATTAACTTCTACTTAACCTCCCTTCTTACAAAAACAACCAATAATTTATATAAAACTAAAACCCTAAAATATTCACATTAAAAAACAGTGTAAACACATTAAAAATAATTATTAATCAAAACTATGCCAAGGGCCGCCAAATATCTAAAACTGGACTTGCATGATACTATATAGTATCATGTAAGCTTCGGTTCTTGAATGAAGCACATGCTTCATTTGAGGTCTTTTAAAGAATAGCAGTCAGTGTGCTTAAGCGTCTTTAAACTGCAGGGCAGATGACATTGAGGGCTTCGGGGTACATGGTCCCTTACTCTTTTTTTGTGTACATCTATTTTTTTTTTATAGAAATTGACAATTTTTTTCAAATTAAGGGAGTGTGCAAAAACAGTAAAAAAAGAAAAGATAAATCTTAAATTTTAATAACAGATTTATATCAAATGGCATTGAATTTTACATAAAATGGTGTGCTATAAACTCCACACCAGCCTATTTATTCCTGTTATTACTTAATGCAACAAAATTAGTAAAAATTTTGTTTATAAATCAGTTTGGAATAATTAACTTAAAAACGTTTATCTTTATGCAAGTCTATTAAGCAATAAAGATAAAAATTTGGTTTATAGTTTATTTTTTTACTTTTGTTTATTTTTTCTTAGGTTAAGATTTGTTTTCTTTCAATTTTAAACACCATTTTGGAAATGCGCAAAAATGATCAAACAATTTAAAAGCCATGGCCAAGTCAGCAAAACAAAAATCGTGCAAGCATGATCATATAAAGACATGCGATTGCATGTCTTCCTGTGAAACACTGGATTATAATAAGTAAACCAAAATAAACCTCATATATCTCTTTAAAAATAATCAATAAAAATTTACACTTAACATGTAAATAGAAAATTGAAGAATTAAAGCATAAAAATCCTAATAAAAAAGTTTAAAAAAAAATCAATAATATTAAACTAAAATAAATACAAAAACAGAAACAACATATCTGTCAACAGATACCAATTTTCAATACTAAACAAATGAAAAACATTAATTGCAACAACAACAAAAAAAAACAATCAAAAAAACTTCAAAAATGCAACAGTAAAGCAGTTACAAGCAGAGCAGAATGCTAATAACGAAAATGCTGTTATGAGCCACTAACTTGAATTAGCATTTTGATAATGACACATCACAATCCTACATCTCTTTCTTTTTTCTATAAATACTATTATAGTTATTATTTAAACAAACAAACCTTTGTTTTAACTAAAAAAGTTTATTCTTATACAACTTGTATGACATATAATGATTTAACCCCCTACCATTACGTTTTACATGTTCCTCCAACCCTTCACCCACAATTAAATTGGTAGTTTTCCTACTCTTAGGTAAATTGCTTTCATCATCTTTATCTCCGTAAATACGATGAAAGCAACTTACCTAGGAATATATACATACATGCATACATACATACATACATACATACATACATACATACATACATACATACATACATACATACATACATACATACATACGTACATACATACATACATACATACATACATACATACATACATATATACATACATACAAACATACATACATACATATATACATGCATCTATAATGTTCATTTATTTTTAGGATGATTACTCTTTAGCACCAACGGAACCAGCTGTTATACATGATCCTCTCTACCCAAGTGCAGACCATTGGCCTAAAAGAATTAGACCATTAACCCTTGCAGAGGCAAAGGCTGGTACTAGAGGTACTTAGTTTAAGAAGATTGAAGTTAAGATATATGTTAACAAATTTTATTTGTTTAATAATTTTCTGACAAAATTTAAACATTTTTCTGACAAAATGAAACAATAGAAAAACAAAAGATAAAAATAATTTAATAGCAAATAATTGACTTGTTTTTTAATATATTGATTGTGTGTTTAAAAAAATCTTATTAACATTAACTTCTACTTTACATTCTGCATAACAAAAGCATTCAAATATTCTTTCAGCATTCTTTTATCTTAAGAAGAAAGCAAAGTAACAGCAACAATGAGATTAAAATAATAACAATATGTTAATATTATTATATTATTGTTATTATAATTATTATAATGAAGCAATACAAAATAATTGTTAACAATAATTTAAATTAGTTATGAAAACATAATATGTTGTCATAACAAATCACTCAGTATAAAATATAAATTCAAGTTAACTATTGAAAATAATTAACCATATAAATGTAACATAAAGTGTACCATCTTATGAATAATTACAAGTAATATAAAATAACTATTAATATAAAAAAATATTTTTTATACTAATAATTAAAATTAATCAAGCGTTTTTATTTTTCAAATAATTAGTTTACTCACCCAAAATATAAGGAATGACTAGAATTGAACAAAAAATCTGAATAACCGAATATCCTAACTTTTGTTCTGGTATCTGGTATATTGAATCCAATACAGAAAAATCAGACCAGATTTCTGATCTGCTTTTCCTATAAACTCGGATCATGAGTTATTAAAAATCAGGTGTCTAGATCTGATCCAGTTTTTCAAACTTATTTTAAAAATAATAATTTTATAAATAGTACTTAATATTTAGTGAGTTTTTTAGAGAAAATTACATGCAAAAAAATTTTTTTTTTTTTTTTTTTTTACCAAGAATCTTTTTATTTACTGACTCTAAGTCTTCTAAAGTTCTCCAATGTTCTTGCTATTCCTTTGCTCAAGAAGTCAAGGCTCAAATCACGCAAAACCCTGAAGGTATGTACGATGTATAGTAATGTAATACACATTTTATATATTTATATATAGTTTTTACTGATTAAAGTTGATTTTCATAGTTATAAACTTTGAATAGATTAATTAATTACATGATTTCACAACTACAAAAGTAATTTGTAGATAGTTTTACAAGTTATATGAATTTTGAATAGGGATGTACCGAAGCTTCGGCTTCGGCTTCGGCATGCCGAAGCTTCGGCAATTTTGCCGAAGCTTCGGTTTGGCCGAAGCCAGGTCAATTTTTTGCCGAATCTTTGGCTTCGGCAAAAAATTTTAAGTAATTAAATTTATAAGCTACTTTTGTACAAGTTATAAAAATATGCTAATTGCCAGTGTCTAATTAAGTTGTAAATTCAGGACTACAGAGTTAAAGTCGGAGTCTATACCATATATTTAGTATTATTTACTCCCAAATGTCTTGTTATGGAGGGGATGATAATAAATAAGTAGAAATATTTTGAATATACTAGTAAAATTAAGGAAGGTCCTCATACACTTTGAAGGCTTCCAAGTGTGACTTTAGATGAACTGAATCTGCATTTTTATGCAGAATAAAAACCTTATAATTTAAAACAAATTAAAACTTTTTAAAAATAAAATGGAAAAAAAACCTTGATTTGTATTATGTAACGAATTTATATTAATTTTTGTGTGGGATTACTGCAAATAGAACAAAAATTGATTTCAACATTTGACCTATAAACCTTAGTAATCTCACTTTAAAGAAGATTAAAGATACGTTGCTACTATTTTAAATTCTATGTATGTTTAATTTTTTTTAATTTTATTTAACCATAATAATAAAAATTTACAAATTTTCATCGTAAGATTACAGAAGTTGGTTAGGTGTCACTTATATAGTTACAAACTAGTCAATGGAGTGACACATAAAAAACATAAAGTTCAACAACAAAAAAGGAAGAAAAGCAAATGAAATATAAATGAGGAGAATAAAAAAAGAAAAAAAAAAGTCAACCAAAACTATATAAATTAAAAGAAAAAGACAAACAATGATAATAATTATCCTTGCCCTTTTATTTATATTATGAATACTTCTAAATTGAATTTATATATTAAACATATAAACTTATATTCTGGTTTCTTCTTATGATATGAAGACTTTTAAATTTTATTTAAAATAAATTAAAGGTTAAAGCTTTGATTATTTTGAGCTCTTGTATTTATCATCAAAATTTATTTAAATTAAATAAACAATTTAAATCAAATAAATATCAGCCTGCTCAGTCCCTGTTTATTTATAAATATAAAGTAAATAATAATATAATTATAAATAAAAAATTTATAAAGTATTCTATTTATTATTTTATTTAAAGCTCGCTTTACTGAGTTGTTAGATTACTATAGAAGTTTTTGTCACAGATAGTTAATATTTGATTTCAGATACTGATGCAGATTTATCCATTACAGAGATAGAAGAAGAATGAATACTATAATTTCAGAGAGTAAAAGATTAATAGAAGCTTAAGAAAATGTTATGTAGTGTAAAATTAAAAATAATAAAAAAAAAACAACAACAACTTAAAAGTGTGTAAAAAAGAAGTTAGAGAGAAATTTATCAATTGTACTTAGCATCTATTTATCTATTAATTGTTTTTAGCAGCAGGTTCACAACAGTTGTAGTGGAACACAAAATGGTCTTAACTTGGTTTTTTTTTTAGTTTAGAAATTGTTCGTTTAAGAAATACAGAGAAGTAAAAAAAAGATATTGAAATAAATAGCAATAAAAAGATAAAGTGTGTTTGTAAGATTTTTTATGTTGTAAATACAACTAGATCAGCTAAGAGTGTTTACTTAGAGAAAGAGTGTTCAAGTGTAAAAGATTAATTTACTTGAGTAATATTCAGAGATTTTTATCCACTCTTAACAAAAGGTGCATTAAAAATAAAAATAAATTATACAGCACATGAAAAGATGCGTAACAGTAATTTATGGGGAATAAAATTTGAGGATGTTCAGCTAGCACACGATAATTAGATAGAGCAAACAAGGTGATTAAATTGAGGATTAAAAATTAGATGATTAGATAGAGGATTAAAGAGAAATGATGTTTACATAGAAGAACAGTATGGCTATAAAAGATCAAAAAAATAGCAATAATCTTAGAAGAATATTGGGAATAGTTGGAAATATATGTGAATTACTGATATTGTGCACTATATAACATTAATATGGTTTGCACACAGAAAAAGTAGAACTAGAAGTAGGAAAATTTGAGGAGAATGTTTCAAAAAAGCTTAAGTTTAAAAAAAAAACACTAGGTGCGGTGAAGTATCAGAAACGACATAATAAGAAACTTTCAAACAGGGGCGCTGAGAGCTTTTGCCCTGCCTGGGGCAGCAACCCTGACTTGTGTCCTCATTTTTATACATTTTTTCTATATTATTAGTCAAGGATCTTAGTTTTGGAACCTTTTTTGTTTTACACCCCTGCTGATCTGAATGCTAATTAAATTTTAAGCATATATAGTGCCGAAGCTTCGGCTTCGGCTGAAGCTTCGGCTTCGGCAAAGTGGCTTCGGCCGAAGCTTCGGCTTCGGCCGAAGCTTCGGCTTCGGCAAAATTTTAGCTTCGGTACATCCCTAATTTTGAACTCAAAATGAATCTAAAAACCATAATCAATAAAGACAATAACTACCAGATTTTTATGTCATTTCATATGCCTGGTATTATTTTTATAGCATGTATATGCATATTTATATGAATATATCACTTCTATGCAGTGCATATTTGAATTAAGAAATAAAAAGTATAGACTTTCTATTCTTAATTCAAAAGAATAAAAGTATCTATGGATAGGAAAATTAAAAATAAAAAGTTTTTTAAAAACTTTCCCTAAACCAAAATTAGTGTGAATTAAATTATTTAGTTGACAATGCTTTTAAATATCGTTCTGAGTCTACATCATGGAATTTAAAAAATGCACTTGAGTATACAGAATGTTGCATGATACTTGGGCTAGAAGAGATGACTTTAACAGTGTAACTGGTTCAAGTCAGTATCTATTAAGTTTCTGTGCAAACTCACATTTTACATGCGAAAAATTACCAAACTCACATTTTACATGCGAAAAAGCCATATGCTTACGAGTTCAGCAGTTTAATGTTAAGAGAAAACTTTTATCTTTTAGAATATCTAATTTTTATTTTGATATCGTTTATGTGATGTTTATTCAGAAAATATGTTGTAAGTAAAATCATTTAACCGCAATTGTGATCTAATAGATTTTTTGTTAAAGAAACAGTTTGTTTAATTTTTTTTTTTTGTTGTTAAAATTGATTAAAGAAAATAAAGTGTTTTAAATTTAAAAATTTCATCATATATAATGTTAAGTTTTATATTTCTTAAGTTAATAAACTTTTATTTGCAAATTATGTTTATTTTATATGTAACGATTTTTGTTTATTCATTTATAGTTTTAAAACAATTAATTTTTTTATCAAATTAAGAAAGTACTCATGATTAACTGTTTATTTAAGTATTTCCTCATCATCAAATTTTGAGATCCAGGGGTGGTTTTCCTAAAAAGAGAGGAAGTTAACATTCGACTAACACTTAAATATTTTTTATAAGACTTAAATATTTTTTGTCACTTTTAAAGGATTCATCCTCATTTATTCACAAAATCGCTACTGGCTAGACCTGCAGATAAGGATATGTTAGAGAGCTTGGTTGTTTAATTTTTTTTTAATATTTATCAAATTTAAAAATAAATGATATTTTAGTGTTGAAGTTGCTTTTATGCATAAGTTTTTTTGTTATCTTTAATATTTTAGATTGATCATAGAAAGAAAGTCAATTAGAAATGATTAACTAGGTTATGAGCAGTAGACGAATATTTTACCAAAGTCAAGTTCTTTAAAAAAAATTGTCAATATATTTGTTTCAAAACAAATGTTTAAGCACTGTTTAAAACTGTAAACTATAGTAGAAAACTATACTTGGTTCCTAGC